GGGGTGAGGGGTGTGGCGGGGCAGGGGCGTAGGGAGGATCCTCAGGAAATGCCCAGGGCCGTGGTCCCCACCTGCTCACCTGCCAGGAAGGCCCGGAGCGTGTGCGTGAAGCCCACCCAGGTCCGGTTGTCTGAGACGTTGTAGGAAATCTCCAGGCCTTTCTCCCCGTAGACGTCCGGCCTCAGGGTCACCCCTGCCACACGAGGACAGCCTGCATCTTATCTCTTCCTCAAGTGTCCACACATACCCAAGCCCCAGGCTTGGAGGTGGCTGAGGCTGTAGGAAGCTGGGGCCCAGGACCTCACAGCCCCCCACGAGCCTGGAAGCCAGGCCCCTCGGGCTGAGTAGCGCCGTGGCACAATGAGGACGGACCTCCGAGGGCCCCCGAAGACCCTCCAGGACACACAGACGAAGCCTGGGATGGCCGGGGTCTCCCCTGGGAACCCTGGGCTCTGCACGGGGTGTGGAGGGGGTTCCCGGAGTCTGGCCGTGTGCAGGTGGGGCCCTGGTGCCGGGGCGGCAATCAGGGCCTCCATGGCAGTCCTCGCACCGGAGACGGCTAGTCCAGGGCCTGCAATGGGCTTCTAAGTGAAACCGTGTTGGAATATGCATGAACACACGTGAACACACGTGGAGACGTCCTCCCTGGTTTTGGCTAGGTACAAAGCAACCCAACAACATGGCAGAAATGGAAGTCAGAGGTCGGAGTGCAGCAGGTTCAGGCAGGAGCCACAGGCTCTCCTGACCCCACAGGCAGACGCAGCTCCTCTGGACACGCCCCCTTGCGCACATGGAAGACGCAGAACTGTGTGGCCCACGGCTGACGTGCGTGGCCGCCCCCTTCCCCCTTCCGTGTGCCGTGCCCAGGGAGCCTCTCTCTCATCCCCGCACCGCCAGGCACCTCCTCCTTGGCTCTGGGCTGTGGGGATCGCCCTGTGTGCCTAGGCCCGGCGGTGCCGGCCGAGCATGCAGGCCAGCATTGTGCGGTGCTTGGGGTTGTTCTCAGGAAAGCAGCTGCTCAAAATTAGGAGCGCAACAGCTTAAAAGGAAAACCTTCAGAAGTGTCTAGAGGGAACAGGGCCTCACGCCTGTTGTCCCATCGCTTTGGGAGGCCAAGGCAGGAGGAACGCTTGAGACCGGGAGTTCAAGACCAGTCTGGGCCACACAGCGAGACCTCACCTCTGCAGAACTGTTTAAAAATATGA